ACATTCTATCCCAAACAGGGCAAGGGGTTAATATCACAAAGGAACAGGTGAGCGTAGCTCTACCCATGGGGCTACAGGAAGGCACGCCTATGCATGAAGACACATTTGGTTGCATTTTTACTACTCTCAAGATTGGGGCTACTGTCTTCAGCAACTTAAGAGTAGCCAGACCAATGGGGAGTGGGGGGTATGACTGACAGTGCCTCAACCGATTAGGAGAGGAAAAATACTGGTCACTAAGTGCGACGGCCTCCCACACTAACATACTCTTCCTCACCTTCCTTCTCATCCATTCCACTCACCCCAAACAGTATAAAAGATAGCAAGTCCCAAATCCTGGGATCCTCTGACTTGGATAATCTCTCCTAATGAACTACTAAAGCCACCAACCTGGTCCACCTCCCCTTTCTTGCATTCTTGATCTCATACATATTATTTTGACCTGTTTTCTAGGTGGTTAAATTGTAAGCTGAAGTGATAATATTTACAAAGTCTGGGGCATCATCCCCACTGATCCTAAAACAAAGGATAGGCTTTGTGGCCTGACATATCTTAAGAGCAGAACTTTTTCCTTTTGACTTCTACATTTTGAATGTTCTCAAAATCTAAAATACAGAGCAGATGTAGTAGCCAGATCTTGTTTTCTAATACCATTATCCAATAAAAAGAGTCAGAGTTCCTGGAAGAAATGGATAATTCTAGGACTGGGGAAAAAAATGCACAAGATGAGCCTAGAGTATGTTGTAGGGTTAGAAAGTAAGGAAATTCTAAAAGAGAGGTGAGTGTAGGAACAGAGGGAACCAACTGATAGAATTAATGAACAAAGCTGGAATAATTTGAGCAACAAAAAAGTTCAATTATAAAAATAAATATCCATGAGGCCATATTGATACAAGAAAATTATTAGATAAATTAATTGGAGAAGAGACAAACTTCCCTTAGAAAATTCCAAATGAAATACGTGGATGCTTTATCATAAAGTGGGGGAGAGGTCCTAACTCTCCACTCCTTAAATATGAGCTGTAGACAGTGACTTCCTTCCAAAGAGTAAAGTACAGAAAAGAAGGGTTAAAAAAATAAACTTGATATGGAGAGACATGACAAACACAACTACTTCAGGCAGGTTATCAAGGTCAGCATAAATTTATAAATCATCTTGCTAGTGTGGACCCTGAGAGAATGTAAAGAAAAGGGCACTTTATGTCTGTGATTTTCCTCCCCAAGGCCCAACTGAGGGGCATCCAACAAATATACCTGCCCAGCAATCATTAGAACTGTCAAGGTCATCAAAACAAGGAAACTCTGAGAAACTACCACAGTCATGAGGAACTTAAGGAGGAGACATGATAATTAATTAAAAGTAATGTGGGTGTTTTGGATAGATAACCTAGGATAGAAGAAGAGTATCAGGTAAAAACTAACAAGCCTAACTTATCAATATTGGTTCATTAATTATAACTAACATACCACACATGTAAGATGTTAATAATTGGAGAAACTGGGTATATGGCATATGGGAATTATTGTCCTATCTCCACAACTTTTTATTCATCTAAAACTTCTAAAAGAGTTTATTTTTTAAAATATGAAATACGGAATATTTTTAAAAATTTGTTTGAGGGTTTGGGGCTGTGGCTCAGTGGTAGCACACTCGTTTGGCATGTGTGAGGCACTGGGTTCAATTCTCAGCACTGCATATAAATAAATAAAATAAAGGTTTATCAACAACTTAAAAAATTAGTCTGAAAAGACAATTTTGCAGAAGCACTTTAAAAAAGTAAGGTACCAACTTGCATGTTAGTTTCAATCACTTTAAACATGTGACCATTTTGCCTTCTTTCCAAATATACCTGATATTTATGTTAAACTATGATTGTAGAATATATGTAAAAATTTGATTTTTCTCGATAAGCTCAAAGTAACTTACCCTCATTTGAAAACTAAAAGTTCATTAATACATTTTCCAACTTCAGAACAAGTTGATTTCCTGAAATTTAATCAAGTGTTTGAAACCTGAAACACATTTTTCCCACAGAAATGTTGTTATTATTGACAATGGTCAACTCCCAGTCCAGCCCAGTGAAGCTGATTAAGTTCATAAGAAGCAAAAACAGATATCTACAATCAAAGCAGTGTAAAACTATATTTTGAAAAAGGAAAAAAAAAACATTTTTTTTAAACTCAAAAGGTTAAGCATGCAATTTATATTTATTTCAAGTCTATCACCCACAATGTTTGAGCCAGGGGCTAATTTTGGGCCTTTGCATAAAACCTTAAACTTGGAAATGCTACACTATAGATGCAAAAGAGACTGAGAAAGGTGTTAAACCGGGGTGGGTGGGAGATAGGAGAATCTTAAGTGCAGTTAGAGGGAGCCATACCATTTTAACTTCTAGGAGCACAAGGAAGCTGGTATCCCATAGGATGGAAGAAAAGAGATGGGGACTTTGATTTCTCCTAATTCTAGAAAACTAAATGTGCTACTACTACCCAGAAGGTGGGATCAAGAGTATGTGTAGCAGTTGTTCAACACAGATAACTACCTCATCAAGTTGTGGGATCCTGAGTATGCAGGTGGGCAGCAGCAGGGGCTGGTCAGGGCTCCTCATAGTAGTCTCTGTCTAGCTGACAACAACAACAACAAAATAAAGTGGATTCATCCAGCAGACCAGCAGAAATGCTGACAGGGATGATGAAGACATACATTTCCAACATGGAGAATCAGAAGAAGAAATAGAGGTTAAGATGTTAGTCCCAGCTGGAGTCGTCATTCTTACAGCACAGCTAGGGTTAATGTTTGATGTAGAACAAATTTGTATACACAGGTTGGAGAAGTATTTCACAAGAAATTTATTAAGCACTTTCCATTTGTTATATTATAAGAAGAAAATTTTATACTGGAAAATGAACTACAAGAACTTTTCAAAACTTAAAAACAAATATTTTCTAAAGGGGAATCAGCAGAGAGGAAAGGGACCAAAGGGTGGAAGATGAGGAGGGAGGGGGAATGTACTGGGAAGTGATATTAGCCAAATTATATTGTTATGTTGTATGCATATATGAATATATAACAACAATTTCATCAATATGTACAACTATGATGCACCAGTGAAAATGTGGGGGAAAAAACAAAGTGTTTTAAGGAAATCGTGTATTTTCAAACAATTTTTTTTTTTTTTGGAGATCAAACCCAGGGCTTCATGTATGTTAGGCAAGCACTCTACGTCTGAGCTACATACCCAACCCTTTATAAATTTTAAAACAGGATCTTACATTGCCCAGGCTGGCCTTGAACTTGGGATTCTCCTGCCTCATCTCAAAAATAACTGAAACTAGGAGCCAGGTGCAGTGGGGCAGACCTGTAATCCCAGTGGCTCTGGAGGCTGAGGCAGGAGGATCACGAGTTCAAAGCCAGCCTCAGCAACTCAGTGAGACCCTGTCTCTAACTAAAATACAATAGGGCTGGGGATATGGCTAAGTGGTTGAGTGCCCCTGAGTTTAATCCCCTGTGCCAAAAAAACAAAACAAAACAAAAAGCTGACTAAAATGGGGAATCACTACTTTTTCTGCAACTGGAAATACCACAGTAAAAATCTCCATATTGTAGGTTATTGTTTATGCTTACTTGCTGTTGTAAACTTCCAAAATCTCTCCAGCTCACCCCAACAGAAGTTTGTTTCCAGTTTACACTGCTGGATGATACAAGTCAGGCTAATCTTGTGGGGAATCCACCTCCAATAGTGATTTAGGGAACCATCTTTTAGTTTGTTTTGGAGGGTTTTTGTTGTTTTGATACTATAAGTTGAACCCAGGGGTGCTCTACCACTGAACTACATCCTCGGTCTTTTTTTCCCTTTTTTTTGGACACCAACTGTAAGTTGTTGAAGGTTTTGAAGTTCTTAATTGCAACACTTAAGCATAGGAGAAAACTTGGAAGATGTGAAGGAACAATTTATGACTAAGACTGGAAATGGCTTAGGATATTTCTATCCAGATCTTACTGGCTTCATCCTCACTATGTGGTTCCAGTCTAATTGCAAGGGAAACTGGGAAATAGTCTTCCTGTATGCTCAAAGAAACTGGATGAACATTAGACATTTTTTAAAAATATTACATTTCAAAGGATATACTCCTATGTACAAGCGTTTTGCAGAAGAACTTTAATATTCCCTATTTCTACCAACAGAGCAAAACTACTCAGCAAAAATTCTTGCTTTTCTGAAGCTTAACTGACCAGATTCCTGTGTCAAATGGTTCTCATTTTCTCCCAATGCTTGTGTGAAATTAGGAAAGACCAGGAAAGCGAGCAGCCTTTATATTGCTGCATACACTTGACAGAAAGATGACTGAAGGTAGACATGGCATGTGCAGGGGCTTCCAGGTGACATCCTGCTTTGTGCTACAAAAAACAGAATATCTGTAGTGGACTTTCTAAAAATACAGAATCAACTGAATCTAGGTTAATATAATGTTCTAATATGTAAAATTTGTGCCGCCTTCAATTATGGTTTTGATTTTTTAAATATTTAACTCATATACTAGAGCACCCATTAGAGTGTGCAGTTCAAGCCAGGTGTGGTGGTGCACTCTTATAATCCCAGTGGCTCGGGAGGCTGAGGCAGGAGGATTGCCAAATTCAAAGCCAGCCTCAGCAACTTAGCAAGGCCCTAAGCAACTTAGACCCTGTCTCAAAATATTAAAAAATAAGGGGCTGGGACTATAGCTTAGTGGTAGAGCTCTTGCCTTGCACACGTAAAACACTGGGTTTGATCCTCAGCACCACAGAATAATAAATATATTGTGTTCATCTGTAACTAAAAATTATTTTAAAAATAACAATCATTTATTATTTTTAAAAAATAAAATGGGCTGGAGATGTGGCTTAGTGGTTGAGTGCCCTTAGGTTCAATCCCTGGTACCATAAAATAAATCATGAAGTGTGCAATTCAATAGCTTCTAGTATACTGACAAACTTATACATCAATTACCACTAATTCCTATTTATCTCACTTTTTATTTAGAAAAATGAAAGTATAATTTTCATTCAATAAATATTTGATCCTTATGTAGTTTTTTTGCAGAAGATGAAATCCATTATTTTAGATGATGATAACAATTTATTAGCCAAATAACCAGTTTTCACACAGTTTCAATAATGGCAGCAATGTCCTTGAACTGTCTGTAGAAATTCTGGAAAGAAAGGGGAAAATATTAAATTTGGTTTTAGAGAATATTTAAGTAGTTCCTTTAATTACATCTGACTACTAGGGGCTGTCTAACATTGTTTGCATTTTAATATTACATACTCAACTAATAAAGACTGCTGTGAAACAAACAAGTGCAACTAGGTACTACACACAAAAATAATATTGTAGAATCAGATTAGTTTACTACTAAACTTTTTTAGAAAACAGGAGAAAGTTTATGAGGATCACACCAGAAAGATTTATTAAATACACAATACTATCCTAGACACTTAAGATAAAAACAAAATTGACAGATTCATTATGGGTCCCTAACCATTTTCAACCATTTCAGGGTCACAGGGGCTATTTTAAGATTGAGTTCAATTTCAATAAAAGAGACCCAACATTGACAATATCTTATATGGTAGGAATTTATTTCTCTATCATTTAAAAAAATTATTGTGGTTTGGTTGATCTTCTGTAGAATTCTCTTTTAAAAAATCGCAGTTAGGATCAAATTCTGTTTTCCTTTTTCTTCTGTACCTGCTGGGAAGCTGGGAGGCAAATGTGAAACATAACTGCAGCAACTGGATACCCTCTGATTTATACATTTGCATTTTCATTATTATCTTGGCCTTAATTTTCTATTTTATTACTTGAGTATTTATTTGAACTTATATGAAAATGTCATAAAACATAATAAATTGTGACTATTCTTTAAAAATACATATTGATGGTCAAAATTGCTGCTAACAAAAGCCCAAAGATGGGACTGGGGATTTAACTTAATGGTAGAGCTATCATATGCCAAGGCTCTGGGTTCAATTCCCAGCACCAATGGGGAATGGGGGGGGGGGAGGGGAGAAGCTGAAAGACTGTTCCTTAGCTCTGTTATGTATTTGCCTGGTTACCTTTAGACCACATAAAGAATGTCTTAAAAACAGCTGTCCCCTTCTGGCAGCATGGGAGGCTGAGGCAGGAGGATCACAAATTCAAAGATAGCCTCCGCAACTTAGTGAGGACCTAAGCAACTTAGTGAGACTCTGTCTCAAAAAAATAAATAACAAGAAGGGATGGGGATGTGGCTCAATGGTTAACATTCCTGGGTATAATACTCAGTACCAAAATAAATAAATTTGTCCACTAAATAAAATGTTATATATACCCACACCCCAGTGGTCCCACAGTATTCATGGGGGATTGGTTCCAGGAAGGATTGCCTATAGATTCCAAAATCTAGATGCTTAATTCCCTTATATAAAATTTACTATTTGAAATATAATGTTTATATCACCAATATATGTATGTATTATGTATCATATTATACACACACTCAATGGAATATTATTTTGCCATAAAAAATCCTGCCATACGTAAAAATTTACATGAACTGGGAGGACATTATGCTAAGTAATATAAGATAGACACAGAAAGACAAATACTACATGATTTCACTTATATAGAATCTAAAAGAGTTGAAGTCAAATCAGAGTAGAATGGCAGTTGTGAGAGGTTATGGGGAACATAGAGATGTTGGTCAAAGAGTATATACTTTCAGTTATAAAAGTTCTAGGAATCTAATGTACAGTTATGGTGGGTATGGTTAATAACAGTATTTTATCTAGTTGAGGTTGATAAGAGTAGATTTTAAGTGTCTTCACCAACACACACACACACACACACCCCCCCACACGAATTAACTATTTGTGGTAATGGATATATTCATTAGCTTGACTATAATAATCCTTACACCATGTATATTTTTATTAAATCACTACAATGTTCTTGAAATTTCCTAATTATACTAACAGAGGATACCTGTCAAAAGTAATTAAATGGCACAACACATAAATTTAGCAATTTTATTGAAAATAATTTATTAAATTTTCAAAGAACAAAATCTAGATCTTTTGTATCTGCGAATACATGTAAAACACATCAATTTCCAAATATTGAAAATTTCCCTTAAGAAAGATTTTATACACTTCATAAGCAATAATTATACTAAAATTCAATGAGTTAAACTACGAACCTGAAACTGTGGAATTGTCATTTCAAAGGACTTGTTCTTTACTTGGCCAGAATGATCTGCCACTTTTAGCATCACAGCAACATAAGGATACTTAAGAGATCTGCAACTGTCGGAGCTCACAGCCATACCCAGTTTCCACTGAAAATCGACAAGCTTTAACAAAACAGTATAAAACAATAAATTAGTAACATCATTGCCTTGAATGCAAATATTATTCAATTTTACTGCTCTCAACTCAACTTTTAGTTTCAATGCAGGTCATAAAATACAGTATCTTCAGTTAATATCATTTCAGAAACAATTAACAAGGGACATAAATAGAGTTATAAAACAACATTGTCATATTTACAAAAGAAAAAAGCAAAAAGTGAAAAAAAAAAACACCAAACCTCTACAGAATGGATAATATAAGTAGGTGACATTGAAGTATTGGTTTTCCTTAAAAGGTTTAAATTTTGTTCTGGCAATTCAGTGGCCTTCAAACACGTTGAAGCATCTTTTACCTCACTTTCCTGTTCCAGATGCTTCCTCATTCCACAAACAAAAAATCCTCAAATGCAAGATGGGTTACGTGATCTTCATAATTAGTTGAGGCTCACATGAGAATCATTCCAGTTTCTTTCCTCACCATAGTCCTCAAGCTCAAACCTTACATTAGCATAAATAATGATGTAGTTTTAAGATTTCATCAGTGTTCATGATGGTCAGGTGATGTGCTCTGTAATTTACATGTATTAAATGCCTCAGTGAGTCAGCATAACATTATGGATTTTTTCCATTTTGCAAATGACAAATCCCAATTTCAGAGAGCTAAGGTAATGTGTACCAGGTCACACAGTTCTGGAATCAGAAGAGAAACCAATGTCTGCATGACTCCAAAGACTACATGCTTATAAACTACTAGCTGCTTCAATACTTTATCTAGTTCCTGTCAATGATTGTTCAGTGTTGTTATGGCATAAATCAGGACTGGACAAATGCAACTCTTAATATTGACTTTAAAACATAAGGCTGTGGATGAAAGAATTTTGTCTGTCTTCTTTTGAAAGATTAGACAGGCGCGTGACACGCAGCAGGCATTCTAAAAACTCACGTCTGCTACCAAACTAACGTTTGCCCTGTGTTCTTACTTCTCTGACAGATCAGAGAACTGTTGATTTTTCAGTAAGCTCAGCTTTTAGTTTCTACTAAAAGTTAATACTGTGTCCTAAAAGGGTAAATTTCTTATATACTGGTCCAGAAACTAGAAGCTCTGATTTCTTTTAATAGACTTATTGCAAGGTACTTTATAATTTATTTCTTGTTTAAAATTATATTTCAAACTTTGTTTCTGAACTTTAAAAAAAAAAACAATGGTGGGCTGAGGATATGGCTCAAGCAGCAGCGCGCTCGCCTGGCATGCATGGGGTGCTGGGTTCGATCCTCAGCACCACATAAAAAAATAAAAAAATAAAGATGTTGTGTCCACCAAAAACTAAAAAATAAATATTAAATCTCTTGATAAACTCATTATAAATCAAATGATGTTTGTAAATTATCTTGGCTTTTCCTGCACAGAAAAAAAATCAGATAACCTATGAATGAATGTATGGATGGAATGTATAGCAGACTTAATGGTCATGCAAACATGTTCATGTCCTAATCCCTGAACACTGAGTTACCCTATGTGATAAAACAAATATTAAAGACTTAACAAAATCAAGGATCTTGAGATGGGAAGCTTTTCTGGATTATCCAGGGAAGCTCAATGTAATCACAGCGTCTTTGTAAAAAGGGAATAAAGAAGGTCAGAGTCAGAGAAGAAAGCGGGGGTTGAAATGATGTGTTTTGAAGATGAAAGTAGAGTCCATAAGCCAAGAAAAGGAGGCAGTTTCTAAGAGCAGGAAAAGACAAGAGATTCCCATACAACCTTGAAAAAAGAGCCATGCCAACATCTTAATTTTAGTTCTAGAAGACTAGTTTTATACTTCTGACCTCCTGAACTCTAAGATGATAGATTTGCTGTTTTAAGCCAAAATAAACAAATAAATTTAAAAGTTCAATTAGGAAACCCTATAATCTAATATAACTCAGTTTCAAGATATCTTTATTCAAGCACGCCATTTAATAAGTGAACAAAGTGATTTATGAGAGATTGAATAAAAACGCACTAACCTATGTAACTGAGCAAAGACAGGTAGAGGACTGATTACTATCTCCCTGAGTTCCCCTATCTCTCAGGTATCCTCAAAAGCAACAGCAAGATCAGAGGGAGACAAAAGATAGAGCAGTCAATGGACACCTCTCTTGGCTCCTGTATTTGCATTATTTCTTATCTCAGCCCTTTTTTTATATTTTATATGGATCTGGATAACTCTTGACCCCAAACCTTCTAGTTTTAGGATTCTTCTTCAAGGAGCATTATAAGTAATTTGTCCAAAAATAGTTTATTAGCTGCAAACACTTGAAACAGAAACGGAACCAAGATGTTCTTGAAAAAACTATTGTTTTTCAACATACATCACACACACACACACTCTCTGAAAGGTTAAAAAGTTATACTCCATCTTCAAAATAACCTTTCTCAAGTGCAAGAAAAGTCATCGGTGCTACCTTTGTCAATTTTAGTAATTTCTTATGTGCCCATCACATTCTAAAATAGTGTATTCCTACCTTCGAATACAGGTCGCCTAATTAAGGAAGAACAAGACTTTGTACTCTTTGCACTAGCGCTGGCTGGAGAAGCTTAAATTACAATGGCAGCAGCATCACCTCGCGCGCACGGGGGAAAGAGCAATGCAGGGATGCGGGCTGGAGAACACCGGCTTGAGGACACAGGTTATGAAATGCAAGGACAGGGCACGGCACACTGCGACGCCGTTCTCCGGGAGCGGCCGCCAGCCCTTGACCAGCAGAGGCCGGCTGAGGACAAGGCAGGAGGGCCACTCACTCACCTGGTTGGTGACCTGAAACGGAAGCAGAAAACACAATTTATGAGACGATCTTGCTTGCTCAGGGCTCCTCTGATCCTTCTCCTTCCAGGCCGAGCCTCACCTGCGATTTAGCATCCAGGATTGGCTCCTGAGACCGAGACGCCTCCATGGCAAAAGCGAAGAGTTGGTCCTGCAGCCTCAGGCTGAGGCTCCCTCGGACCAACACTTCCGCTTCCTGCCTTTCGCGGACCAGCGCACGCAGCCGACGGTGGGTAGGGAGTGGAAAAAAACATCTTTGCGGAACTCAACTTTCGTCTCAAGTAAGCATCAGTTTTAAGTAAAGGTTCAGTACTATGTAGGTTGATATGGATAAAAAGGCCGAAGACTTAGGAGACATCTAGCGAGGGGAAGGAATAATTACATTCAGGATGCTCTTCCCCCGATCCTAGGCTGCAGTTATGGGCTCTTCCAGTCGGGGGCGGGGCACAGAGTAGTCTCGGTGCAAGCGCGAACTCGAGACCGCCTGTTCTAGCCTAACCTAACTTGAAATCTCCTGCACAACCACACCCACTACTTTCGATTTTTGTCCCGCGAAGGAGATGGTTGTGGGAACACAGAGGTGCTTTAAACCCTGGGATTTACTTCACTGGAGGGAGGGACTGGAGGATGCGATTCTTCATCTTTCCTGTCATTAAACTCCAATGTACAACATAACTACAGCAATACTTTCTCATCCGGTCTTGCCTCTTTCTCTTACTGAATTTGAATGAATTCTACACAAAATACACAGAGGGGTTTCTTTCCCCTGCCAATTTATTTTTAAAAACTTGAAACATATTTTTTAAAATGTTTCGAAAATAGTTCTATGAACATCCCTATATCCTTCATCCACATTCACTAACTGTCAAGGATTTATACTTTTGTTTATCACTGCCTATGTACACAGTAATGAGGCTGCTTCATTCCCCAATACTTGAGTGCATATCTTCTAAAACAAATTTAGCATTGATAAAATAGGATTATCTAATAAATAGGCTAAGTTAAAATTCCCAATCATTTCAACACTATTCTTGAAAGTTATTTCTTCCACCAACCAGAATCTAATCAAGTGCTGTGGTTGAAGTTAGTAATCAGGACTCTTTAGTTTCTAATCTAGAAATGTACTGGTGAGGTGATGGATGAAATTCCTCTTTGGAGGCTAGAGGGGAGAATCTGCTTTCAGATTCAAATTGTTATTTAAAAAGAAAGAAAGAAAAGAACCAGGTCTGGTGGCACACTCCTGTTAATCTCACTGAGGCAGGAGGATCTCCAGTTTCAGGCCTATTAAGGCAATTTAGTAAGACCCTAGGGCTGTAGCTTAGTAGTAGAGTGCCCCTGGGCTCAATCTCCAGTACCAAAAACATAAAAAATTAAATTGTTAGAAAAATTTAGTTTTGTACATTTGTTTTCTTGCTGGTTTTAGACTGGGATTCTCAGCTTTCTTAACATGTACTCCCTGCCTCTATCTTCAAAGCCAACAAAACCTCCCCCTGTTTTCTGATCTCTTCCTCTGCAGCATTTCTCCTCTGCCTTCTTTTACCACATCTGATTCCAGCCAGAGAAAGTTCTCTATGTTTAAGGGTTGAAATGTTTAGATCAGACATACACAAATAATCTAGAATAACCTTCCTAAGGTACATGACTTTAATTACATCTGAAAAGTTCCTTCAGAGAAGTACCTAGATTAGTGTTCATTGAAAAAATCAGGGGAGGGCTGGGGTCATGGCTCAGTGGTAGCGCGCTTGCTTGCCTAGCATGTGTGAGGCACTGGGTTCGATTCTCAGTACCACATATAAATAAAATAAAATAAAGGTCCATCAACAACTAAAAAAAAAGAAAGAAAGAAAGAATCAGAGGATGAGAATCATTGAGAGTTGAGCATTTCTGGAATCCTGCCTTTTACAAACACCACTCATTGTGTTGTTGGAGAATTATGTTGGCTAATGCATGTAAAACAACTAAAATTATACCTGGAATGTAGCTCTCATTAAACATACTAATTAGCTTGAGAACATAGTCCCTGAAATAATCAAAAGATTTCCTTCCTATGGAATTCAGATGAAAAGATAGAACAATATTGCACATCCAGTTGGTCAGTGAATTTGTTCTATTTGTCAAGAAATCTTTCCCCTTAGCTCTTGGCTGCCATAATATTTATGCTCCACAGGGCGTGTGCATACAACACACACATACAAATTTCGACTGTAAAAATGTTCCAAAAAAGATACATTTTAAAAATTAATATTTATTATTTCTCTATTTTTCATTCATTCATTTAAAGCTGTTGATTATTTTATTATTCAGTATAAGTGTCCCTTTCCTAAAACCATGGATCTAATTTAGGGAGAATAAAATATCAGTAGTGTTTAAGGAAATCTCTGCCAATTCTTACTCTCCATTTTGTGTTCTGGACATTCCAGCAACATATCTGATAAACTGTTTATTTTTAAGACCTTTGTCTTACCAGAGATCAGAACTTATACAAGTTTCACACTTGGAAAATATGAATTTTATGAATAGTGTTAAGGAAAATGCTAAAATTTAAGGTGCATGAGTATAACTTTTGTCTTATATTTAATGTCATCTCATGACATGTAAGTAGGACATATAAGTCAGAAAATATGGCAGTCTTGCAGTAAACCTAATACTATTATATGCATAGGAGGAAGTCTACAGAACTATGTCATGAACTTCTGATCAAGAGGTTACAGTGTAATAGGGAAAACAAAATTGACACAATGTGAAGCAAGAAATACTTCAGTTTAAGCTCTTATCTTGGGGGTTTAAAAAAATTTTTTTTAGTTGTAAATGGAGACAATACCTTTATTTTATTTATTATTTTATGTGGTGCTGAGGATTGAACCCAGTGCCTCACACATGTGAGGCAAGTGCTCTACTACTGAGCCATAACCCCAGCCCTCTTAGGGCTTTTTTATGCCAAGTGATAGAAATCCAACTCAAGCTAGTATAAGCAATATAGCAGGAATTATTGTCTCACAGCTTCCACAGCTAAGGGTGGAACGTGCTGCAGAGACAACAGAATTGTGAGATTTGAATAGCAAAGGGCCCAGTCTTTGTTTCTCAGCTACTATCTGCTTATCTTGTGGCTGCATTTTCTTAGATTTTTCCATAAGCTGCTGGGGAAGGGGAACAGTGCCTATAGACATATGACCACCAGCATATTTGGGATTAAATTACGGTTCATGATCCAAGGGATAAGAAGCAGCCACCTACCCTTCAACAACAATTTTCAGAGAAAGACTGATTAACCTGCTTGGGTCATATGCACAAGCCTTGGACAAATATTTGTTCTAGGGTGATGTATTACTATTTTTGCTCCATGGCCCCTACTGTCTGTAAGGGGTTGAACTGTGTCATTGGTAAAGTCACTAGCACCAGCAGGGGTGAAAGATATACCCTATAGGAGATATAGGTAAGGATGATGTAACACAACTTAGATTAAAAATGCTAAGGAAACAAAAACAAATGTTCACTAAACATATATACATATTACTATACTATATGATACTATACTACCAATGAACACAGTAGGCAGAATAATAGCCTTCCAAAAATGTCCGCTTCCCAATCCCCAGAATCTATGAATATATTATGTTGCACAGCATTGGGAAATTAAGGTTGCTAATCAGTTGGTCTTAAAAGGAGATGTTCCAGGATTAATCAGGTGAGTAGATGTAATGACCAGAATCCTTAAATGTGGTAGATGGAGGCAGACTGGTTAGAGATAGCATCAGAATAATACCATGTGAGAAAGATTTAAGTGGCTTTTGATGGATTTGAATATAAAAGGATACAAAGAGCCAAAGAATGCAGACAGCCTTTGGAAGTTGGAATAGGAAAGAAAACAGAGTCTTCCACATAGATGCCAAAAGAAGCACGTCCTGCCAACACTTTTAAGTATAGCCCAGTGATAGCCATTTAAGAGGTCTGAACTTCAGATTGTAGAATGATACTTTTTTTGGGGTATCAGGGATTGAACTCAGGGGCACTTAACCACTGAGCCACATTCCCACTTTTTTTTTTATATATTTATTTTTTAGTTGTAGTTGGATACAATACCTTTATTTTATTTTTTTTTAATGTAGTGTTTGAACCCAGGGCCTTGCATGTGCTAGGCAAGTGCTCTACCACTGAGCCACAATTCCAGCCCACCCCTTCTTTGTATTTTATTTAGAGGCAGGGTCTCCCTGAGTTGCTTAGTGCCTCTATAATTTGCTGAGACTGGCTTTGAACTCACAATCCTTCTGCCTCAGACTCCTGAGCTGCTGGGATTATAGGTGTGTGCCACTGTGCACATTTATATTGTTTTAAATAAGTAGAGTTGTGGTAATTTGTCACAGTAGCACCATAAAACTAAGAGAGTGGAGAGAGTATCAATGAAGTGCTAGGAGCTTTACAGGCCCAAATCTAAGTCCCTCTTTCATCACTTCTCTGTGTGACTACAGCTAGTCTTGGAGCGTCAGCTTTTCATCTGTAAAAATAGAGCTATTATTATTTGTCTCAAGAGGTTTTTATGTAGCATAAATATGATTATGTATGTAAAGCAAATAGCCAAGTTCCTGAACAAATACTGGCTGTTTTATCATCATTGTGATATTCAATCCTCCAAAGAAGCCCATAAGTTATCTAGATCACACATTCTAGCTATTTTAAAGATAAGAAAATTGAAGTTCAGGAGTGTTACATGACATCAGTTAGCTAAAAGCTAACTAGCACTTCAATGGTCTGGTTTAATTTTGTTTGCAATCTAATTTCAGAGAGATCCCTGATTCCCAGGGTACCTGCTGAATCCTTTTCAGCTGCTTTTTTTTAAAAAAATATCTTTATTTTACTTATTTATTTTTATGTGGTGCTAAGGATTGAACCCAGGGCCTCACACGTGCTAGGCAAGCGCTCTACCACTGAGCCACAACCCCAGCCCTCTCAGTTGCTT